ATAGTGACAGAAGTAGATAACGGAATGCAGGTACATTTTTGGGAAAATACCTGGCAACTTGTTCTGACTTTACTCCCAAGCACGTCAGCCATCTTGTTTTGTCCTTACGTATGTGTAGACGAAATATGCTCCATGTGATTGAGCTTAGGCTTACGGAAGGGCAGAAAAGGATGATCGACAAAGCTACAGTAGAAAAACGGACGGTTATGGTAGGTTTTTGTTGCAGGCGAATGCTGTTCTGCCCTTATCTAAGCGTAAACCGAGACACATGCTTTATTTTTATTTTAGGCTTGGGCTTAGTCAAGTGTAGAACAAGATGGGCGGAATTTTTCCAGAAATGTACCTACATTCGTTGCTTACTTCCGCTGATTGCTGTATGTTTGCGGGACTGGGAAGCGAAGCGAAGAAAGCGCCATTCTTTAGTTCCGTTTGGAACAGGAGCAGTTCCGAAACGTACGATATTATTGTCTTGTACTTCCTTTAACAATTTGCTCACCCATCTGCTAATAGGGCATTTTGAAGTTTAATTACAGACTTGCAAAAACCGGGACAAAGCTGTGACCGAAGATCAATACGCATTAAAAATGGACAAATCTACAGCACTGACTATTAACCCTGATAGTCTGAAGCACGATAAAAGCACAAATTTTCATTAGTTTATTTGCAAACACGATTGCTAAACCCAACTGTATAACACGTATGATTAATCGCACTTCCTGAGTCTGCTATACTCAATAATTCAACACCGAGGATGGATCATTTAGATAAAAGGTAACTACTTTACGCCTTCCACCTATTATTCTCGTAATCCCACTTTGAGGAATATCCTGTTATCGGTTCGGCATAAAGATCAATCATACGCTGCAACTGCAGTTCCTTCGATTCTTCGCTGAACGACGGCGGGTAAGGTGCGAAAACGAACACCTTTAAAAAGGCCACAAACCATAGTGCTACTGTTGCTATAATCATGGTCAGGCCAGCAACGGCTTTCCAGTGTCCTGAAGGTGCAACCATTTCGGCGAAGGACATGCGAAAGCTAGCACGATAAAGTGCATGCTTTTCTTCCATCGTTAACAAAGACCAATCGCCCTTCTCCTTGATGCGCAGGGAACGGATAGTGTCGTCCTCCTTTCGAAATCGTAACGCAGGATAGGGGTGGTCAAGCCGGTCGAAATACTCAAGATCTCCAAAGCCATAACCCACCATCTCACGACCGGCAGCGCGCTCTGGGGCGTACCAAACATCACCATGTCCCTCGCTACGCAAGCAACCGTTTGTCTGGATTCTTCTGACCATCAAACGCATTACATTTGAAATGATAGGTTTCTGTCGAGCGAAATTCATCACCGATTATTTTTACTTTCAACAATAGAATGAACGCTTAACAAATCGAAAACCTGAGACCAACCACCAACAATGCAACAGCGCTACAGTAATCACGGGAAAAAGTCATGCAGGCATCGTAGAAATTGACTACGCTCAAATAGCACAGCAGCATAAAATGTTAAAAATTATATGTGTACAACTTGCGCGATGTAAAAGATGCAATTCATCAGATTATTAGAATACGTGTCATAGAAGCCGCCGTTTAACGGTCAGGATTTAGGTGACAGGACGCCTCAGCTTCACCGTTTTATGAAGTATTTTGAGTGGCCATCTCCAGATTCAGATTTCATTCCCGACAGACTGCTTCGATGACATTATTCGTGCGATCAAGACCCGCCAGTACACTTTGCTAACCCGCCCATAAAGTTGCAGGACGTGGAGGGATCAAGCGGCTACCAAAATGGCTTTGACACGATATTTGAACACCTCAACATCGAAACTGTGAATTTAATCCACAAAGATGCGAACTGATTTGTCTAGGAATGCGCTGCGACGAAATGGCACTACGCAAACGACATGTTTCGGTTTTCCAAATTACGCAAATAAGATACCAATTCTATTCATGTTGGTCGGTTGACATATCAACACTGCGAAAAGTAGTTACGTGCCCCCATAAGCGTGTTAACCTGCGGATCGGTTTACTGTATTGCGATTGCTACGATTGCAGGTTACTGCATCGGTATGCTGGTTTAGGTATGCTCATGCGGGTATGGTCCACGTATGAACTGCTTAAAGAACAGATATAGGCGGCAGAATTTTCCAGTCTGCCAAGACACTGCCAGTTTTAGAATTTAAAAAATTAACATATACAAAAGCTTTGGCAGTCGTAAAACCAAGCGCCGAAATCTTGAAGGATCAAAAGCCTAAAAAAACAAAATTACAAATTTTAAAGTCGTCGAACACTGGCTGTCGCTTAGCGAGATTCCGTACTTTCATACTGTTCTTCAGTCATGGCTTTTTTCCGTTGTCGTGGATGTCCGCAAATTAAGTTATACAAATTCCCTACCAGCGAATGGATGAGCAGATCGTTGGGGAAAGGATAGATCTACTTTTCGTACGTTTCGAAACTGCTCTACTTTCGTCGTAAGCGATGTTAGGGACTCACTAACGTCCCTGAGGTTGCTTTATTGCTCATCAACCCTGCGCCTTCTGACCTAACTTTTGCGACGGGGAAGTACAACGAGACTAATTCTCTTTACAGGATTTTAATATTGTGAATAGGGTGTTCGGGTTCAAGTGCATGAGAAATTAGATTTGGAACAAAGCAGGCATATACAGTATGCCCTGAGCCTATAGACAGCGACCTATGGGATAAAAACAAGGATTAGCTTTTATCAATGCTAATCTTCTTTGTCTACTTCATAACGCATGAGAAGGCGCAATTTTTCTGCTCATCGTTTTTGTATTCAATGACTGATCAAAGGTAGTTTAATTGCTCACCTTTTGCACAGTTTTAGGAGGACTGTGAAATGTTAACTTAAACTCCTGAGGAAATAAATTATGATTAATCCATTAACCACTAAATGTAACGAGGCGATTCAGAAAAAAAGCTTTAGCGTGTCTTCAAGCATTTCGACTGAACTTCCAGAAGCCGCAATTAAGCCACAGGAATTAGTGTTCACTTTTTTCCGCTCATTTCAAAGACGAACTTGCACTCTGATAGTGGAAACATCCCAATGCACAGAAACTGACGTCAATCCCTAGTTTGCAAAGTACGTATCCTGGTGTCCGTACCAAGATGAAGGCGTGTCGGCTGTTAAAGGAACGAACTGCTAGATCGTAAAACTGTAAAGTATCGTTAGAAATCGTCGTTCAAATCGTTACTGCAGGTACGATTGAATAACCGTTTTTGTTTCTCGCTGACAGCGTGGCCGAGCGGTCTAAGGCGCCAGACTCAAGTGTAAACTTGCCTGCGTTAAGTAGGCCTGAGTGTTCTGGTCAGTGAATACTGGCGTGGGTTCGAATCCCCCACCGCTGTCAACTTTTTCAGATGTACTGCCGGATATGTTTGATAAATCAGCTTTTTTATAACTGTTCTGATGAAATCAGTTACTCTGTTATCATTAGTACAGGGGGTCCCCGACTTACGATGGCTCGACTTACGATGGATTCGACTTTACGATAGTTTCAGTGACAACGCACGTTCGCTTTCAGCTGCGCTCATTTCTCTTTTATTCAGCCTAGCGACACCCGCT